AATTGTACAACCGCATAATCAATGGGTTACAAATCGAGCTCTCTCAAAAAAAATATTTGAGGGAGATGAACGAGAAGAGCTAAAACACAACTTCTTTAAACGACCATGAAGGCCCTTGACACCAAGACCAAATTAAAAAACTAAAACAAGACCGAACAAGTCAAAACTATACAACATCAACAAAAGACCAAAGATAAAAATGTCTTCAACCAACATGGCAAGTGTAGCATAAAGACCACCCCCTCATTAAGACAATTTATCAATCGAGGGTCTTCCACTTGTATCCTCACCTTCTGCCAGTTCTGCTCCCTCTATTCCAATAGCCCATCACTGATTTGAAGAATTTCTAATTCCACTGAATACAATTGGGTATTTCTATAAACAAACCCCTTCTTTGCCACAACATTGTTAACCCAAGCTAGCCCTTGAACATCTCTCCCCACCCCCGAATCATCAATAGCACTGGACCCAGAATGTGCACCACTACTCCTTGAAGATTCCCCAAAGCCAAGTTGTCAACACTGCTTTTAGATCTGACTACTTCAGACCTGCTGCCTGTGTGAGTTTCCTCATATTCCGTCCATTCAAGCTGAGCTCCTAACATTAACTGCCATTCTGAACACCTTACCTTGTTAAACAACCAATTGTTTCTCGTTTTCCATAGCCACCAAAGTATATAAGTGGACAGAGTAGTCCTATCTTTTCCATTATCAACCTTTTTCAAACTGCAGACCTCCTCCCACCAAACCTTAAAATCAACTTTCTTTCTTTGCAGCCTAGCCCAAGATAACCCAGCTAACTTCTGGACCTTTTTAGCTCTAACACACAGAAACAACATATGCTCCAAGTCCTCTTCCTCCTCCCCACACCAACAACAAATCGCATCCACTAGAACTCTTCTCTGCTCCAACTTATCAGAAGTTCCTAAATAATTAAAATAGCATCTCCAGATGAAGTTTTTTACCTTGGTTTTGATGGCAGTTTCCATGTGGCACTCCACAACTTTTTTTTATTTGACCTCACTGCTTTTGGCAGAGCCCTCCTTCTTCTTGCTCTGAATTGTATGAAAATCCTTTCTTGTTAGGGAGCCATACCTGTCTGTCCTTGATCCCCAACTTGCTGATCTTAATTTTAAATTGTTTTCAGCATCCTGAGGCTTAAAAGTTTGCAACACCAACTCTCTATCCCACTCTCTCTTTCCTGCAAGCATAAGATCAACCACTTTGCACAATCTCAGTTTATCATCAGGAAAGGGGCACTCAGGCTTGAAATTTGTGGCATTTGAGATCCATGGTGAATTTCAAATATTTATACACTACCCATTTCCTACTAGATAACATACTCCTAATCCCAAAAACTTCATAGCTTTTAACCACCCCTTCCACATCCAGGAATCACTGTCCTTTTTGCTACCATCCATGAAATTTTTATGAGGAAAATACCTACCTCTTAAAACCCTACTCATCAAGATATTAGGTTTAGTTAGAACCCTCCAAATATGCTTCAGAATCAGAGCTTCATTGAAATCTTCAAAGACTCTGAAACNGAACTAGTAAAGGAAAACGAAATAAAGAGAAACACACAAAACAAGAAATCACAAAAATAAGAGAAACACTGAAAACAAAATGAATAGGCGCACAAAATAAGTCCTAAACCTTCCCCGGCAACGGCGCCATTTTTGTTGTAGTAATTTTTACCGGAGTAGAATCGAAAGATCCGAACACCGGGTCGTGTCTCAAGGAAGGTTGGCCGAATTAATTTGCACGATTTTTCAATCACACGAAAAGAGAAAATAATCCTAAACACTCTAATTCAAATGGATGGTTTTGATGATCAACTATGCGATTAACAACGATTGATTCTCAAACAAGACAATTTCGAACTCACAGCTTTAAACAAGATTCAAATAATTGCAAAAGGGACTAGGGTGTTGGGGACAATCGTTTTCGGTTCTCAATGCATTTAACAGGCAATCAACTACTCGGCTAGAGGATTCGAAACACTACTCATCAGAGATTTATTCTCAATAACTCACGAAACAAGAGAATAAACATAAACGAACAATCATCGAATCAATTAGCACATAGACAATACGTCTCCGAACAAGTCTACTCTAAACGAGCCTAAGTCGATCAATTCCTCCCCTTTCGGTTCTAAGAATCGATTTAGTGGATTAAAATGGTGATCAGTCATTCAACCCTAGGATTAGCACAACTCGAATAGATGGAGTAATCAACATTCATACAAAAGAAATCGAACCGGAACAATTATCTCCTACCCTAGTTGACGAATTTAGCTACTCATCATCAATTCAACATCAACATCCACATCAATCCAAGCCATCATAATCATAGATCAAACGAAATAAGAAAGCTTACGATTAAGTATGAAACCAAGGTCGAAAATCCACGAATAATCCAAATCCACAAGCCGAATCTTGGTGTTTTCACAATCCAAGATCAAAATCCAATGAAAACCAGGTGAAAGATGTTTTTGGAAGTGAAAAAACGAAATTACAAAAGTGTAAGGAAAATAAGCCCTAGGATTGACCTATAACATTCTCCCATTCAAAATCCATAAAAAAAATGCGTCTGCTTAAAACAGATCTTAGTGGTGCTAAGGTGCCTTAGCACCGCTAAGGTATCTTAGCCGTTCGAGCCAGTACCGCGTAGCGCCGCTATCTTGTGTGCCTTAGCGGCGCTAAGGCTCTGGCAGCCTGCTGGACTTTGCTTCTCGGGTCCGTTTGGGTTCGTTTCAACTCGGAATTTGATTCCGCTTTTTCCTGTGTGTTTCCAACGAACTCCTCTATTTAATTAAGCTTGCCCGACTAACTTTCACCTGAAATCCAGTCCTCCTGAGGCTTCCGACCTACACACCATAAACTAAGAAAAACCGGAAAAATATACGGAAAACACACGAAAGACTAAAATAGAGCGAACCACGAAATAAACTACAAAACGAACTAAACACCAACTAAAAGACCTAATATGGGGGAAAAAGAAAAGAAAAATAATGACGAAAAACGCAACAAAAGTGGGATAAACAACTCCCCCACACTTAAACCTTTGTTCGTCCCGAACAAAAAAACACGAAAAGAAACGAAAACAAGCAAACGAGCATGGATAATAGTTTCAAATAAGACAAGTCTCAAATTAATCAACTTAGCCGAGGAGACTTTCAATGACTAATATAGCACATCTCAATTACAACTCGAATGCAACGCCTTGAAAAGACAAACTCTCAAGCACAGAAGTATAATACATACATGCCTCACTCAGTTTCTTGCATAAATATGAAGAGGATACGCTCAAATTGGTCGATCATCATGCATCAACATAAGCTTGCTTATCGTCTATTCATACTCTAAAACAATAAAAGATCATGAAAGGTAAATCAAGAGGACTTCTGGGGTTGCAATAAAGGCAGTTTGCACAAGGGAAAGACAAAATGAAGATTAAGCGGCTCAAATAAACAATCCAATTCTCGAGCATATAAACTACTCGAATGCTCCACCACCTATCCAAAATCAACATGAAACCAATCATTCCCATCAAAACTCCATGCAACACTCATAAGCGCTCAAGATGAAATGCAAATTAAGTACTCGATTTTTTTTTTAAAGAGACTATGCTTTTTCCTAACAAGACTGAGACGTAAGAACGACATTCTCTAGGTTTAAACATTGGAGGTCATCCAAGTTTCCTAGAGTGGTTTCCCAATATTACTCGTGAAAAATTCCACAAGTAAGCGGAGTAGAATCCTTTTAGTCCGTCCTGCGAGTTCCCATTTTTTTTTTAGTACTCAAAATGCAACTCAACAAGTTCTCAACCTTCTCCAAATACATATTAGAAAGCTCCGTCATCATATCAAGTATACTGTCAAATCTCAATTAATTCATTCGAATCGGTTGACAAGAAATACGGTTCAAGGCTCAGCGGGCTACTAGTGAAAATATAAGTTCAAGGGTCAATGAAAAAGGCTAAAACGAGCTATGTCAAAGAAATGCCTCAATAATTTTCACAAATCACAACCTCAATCGCTTCATTTCAAAACAGACTCAAATCAAGTTCTGATCAACAAAGATTTCGACCAATATCTCTCAAGAAACAACATAAGGCTCAAACCTCGAAAAGGGTAAATAAATGTCCAACAAAACGACACATCAAGTTCATCAAAATATACTGGTCATGATCATCATCACATCTCCTCAACATCATCAACAAATCTTAAAATTCACCATAATCCATACTAAAAACACACACAGCTGACTCAAGATAGACACTCAAATAAAACAGAAAATGAAAGCAACCTAAAAAAAACCTAGACCTGGTCAACCATATAGACACATAATCATGTAAAAACTCCCCCACGCTTAAAACCGAACAATGTCCCCATTGTCGATCATCAGTGTTAGGAAAGTTGACCACATAGTCAACCAACACGCAAAAACATAAAAAACTAAACCAAATATGAAAAATAAAGAGAAGGGAAAAGATACAGACGTACAGGGCACAGTGACTAGACGAGTCACTGTGAATCCGGTGGTGCAGGTGGAGGGTGGAGGTAGTCAGGCCCCGAACAGCGGTGGGCCTCTGTCAACTCAAATCTCTCTCCCCATTCAGATCGGGGCAGCTCCTTCGAACTCAGCTGGGGAGGGGTAGTGGCTCGGTCATAACGGTACTCCCTCTGGACATGGACACGGTCCTGCAATGATCTCTTCGCGTGTTCCCGCACACACGCTCCCTCAG